AGAGTGAGAAACAGAGCTGCCCAGCTTGTTGTACAAGATTCATTGCTTTTTTAGGACAAAGGGGCACCAATACTATAGCATCAAAGCAGTTCAAATCAAAATGAATCATTATCAGCAGAACTCTTCAGCACAAGGATTCTTAAGAAGTGATTACAAGTGATTGCTGGATCGTCAGTGCCAAACCGTCCAAGTTTGCAACTCCTCACGCTTGAGGACCTGGGCGGGAGGAATTGTCTTGACAGCTTTCTCACAGTACACTGTAGTTGAATCCACAAGAAGTTGACCCCCAATCTATCCCTACAGTTCAGTTTGATCTCATTTTACTGGAGTTGATTGATCATACAAAAACACTCCTCAATAAGGTTTTCAGGACCAGGTCGTACTGGTCTTTGCACCTGCAGGGTATTAAACTGTTGGGGCCCACACTAGGTAGGTTTTGCCATGCCTGGCCATGCCCTGCGAGGTCCAGCGTGGCTCGACCGAAGTGATACAAGCAGGGATGGTGGCGAAAGCAGTGCTGAGCTTAGCAACAGTCAAACTAAGGGAAACCGTCAACAACCCGCTCTTTCCAGGACTCTGAAGACACCATATTGTCTTTATAGCTTGAGAATCAAGAGGGTTTGCTCCTCTTCTTTCTCACGAGCTTCGACCCAGAGATTTGGGCGTGGTGAAACCATGGGGAACGGGCCGAGGGCCCGGGCCAAATCCCCTGAATTCACCCGAATTCGACGAGCTGGTCTTTTGGGCGAATTCGCTGTGTGTCGCTGTGTGGCGACGAGCCCTGTCAACATCCTTTGAACGAAACTCGCACCCAAACGAGCACCCAATCCTCACGCCATGGTTCTGACCACCCAAAAAGCGAGAGAAAAGGGCATCGACCACCGTGACAGTATACCCCGGCATCGACCACCTGCGGAGTCGTCCGATCCGGAGTGATCCGTGAAGAACATCGAGGCAAGAGGCAAGAGGCGCAGGTCTCCCAGTCGGTTGATTTGGCCGATTGTTTATACAATCCGTTTTTCGACCGTACTGAACCGGCGGGTCCTGGTGGGGTGGATGTTTTTTTTCCTAAGCAACACCAGCAAATCAGAAGCTCTAGAGCCTCCTGCCCTTAGTCTCTCTGGCACAAGGGCTGCGCCGTGGTTCCCTGAGCTCGACACTGAACACATCTGTGCCTTCTAGGGTCCGAACACCAAGTCAAACGATGAGAAGGATGCACAACAGGCCCAAGGAAATCCGCGCTGCTGGAAAAGCAAGGTTTGCCAGCTAAAACCGAAACCTTGTGTTTACCCCACTATGCCAAAATCATGAGCTCACAGCGTGTGCAGCACCGCCTGCTACCATGTGGACAAAAGATCGGGATGTTTCGGTACAACAAAATGACTGTGGGATGTACCTCCTGAGCTTGGCTGTTTCTGAGGTTCAAGTGACGGCGCTCCAACCCTTCGACTTGATCCGGACCTGCCGACAGGCGCACTTTGCATGACGCGGAAGAAGCACAGACTCTCCCACCACGGTGGGACGTGGAAGCTGGATCCACTAACAAAAAGACCAGTTGGATTTCCTAGATGAAAGAACTGAAGGATGATTGGATGATCATTTAGTTCAATCCATCATACAAGTGGTTCTCCCAATCCTTGTGGAGCTCATCATGTATTTTTCAAACATACGGTGTCCACCGCCTTCAACACGAGACCGGATTTGGGGTGGAGGACTGAGCGTGAAAGAACTGCCATTTGGAAGGAACCACTTCTGCACAAACGATGAGGGCCTGCGAGGAGATCAACATAGATCAACTGATCAACAGATCAACATCCTTTTTAAAGATCAACCGTTTACACCCTCCGGCAGGCCGTCAATTGAGACCTGTTGGGGCCCGTACATCGTCCTCGATCCACGTGCGTTCGAGAGCCACCGAGACTCTTGAGGCAGTGATTCTGCTGCCCAGCAGTGCCGCGGCACACTTGCAGCGGACGCCCTGGGAGGCGTTGCCGTGGGAGTGGCGGCCATGCCGTTGAGTCTCTATTTTCTTTGAGGATGGGCTTTTGAAGTTTTAGGGTTTGCTTAGGGGAAGCCACTCCCGGCATGAAGTCAGAGGTTTTTTGGGGGACTGGCTAGCGGATTCTCAGAGCACCTGCAAAGCCGCTTTCAATCACTCTGCAGGGCCATGTCCACCGTGCTGAGAAGCTTCATGGAAGTTCCGGTACGGACGGTTCTCTCAAGGCTTGAAAAACGTGCTGTTTGATGGTTTGGGTGCTGGGAATCGGTTGCCTGGCTGCACTTCACAGTCAAGACCATGAAAGAAGAAGATGGAAGAAGAGTTGAGGTTGGAAGTGGTTTGAGTAGTTCTAGACGTTCTCATTCAATTGTTTGCTTGTGCTACAGAGTTTTGGCCCTGAAGATGTCAATTTGGCCGAATCAAATCAAAAACAGGCCAGGTGCTCAGGTGCTCCCTTTTTCCAATGGTGTGGTGGGCTCTAAGCGCCAGCATTGACATGACACGGGTCATGCATGGTCATGCCAATGCCGTCCATGCTGTCACACAGCGCGGTAGGTGGTCATGTCTGAAGGCACCCGGTCTCTTTGGCGAGGCGAGGCCGAAGCGGACCGTGACGAGCCTCTGGGCATCGGAAGCGGGGGCGTCGTGTGGACTTACAGTTTATATTCAGTATGTGTTTGTCATTGTTTGATATTGTTTGTCTATTGAAGTGTCTCATATTTGGATAAATAGACTGTTTTGACTTCCATACGAGGATCAGTATGAGGATTTTTGTTTTTTAATGAGACACTTTAATACACTTTATATATTAGAATTATTAGAAGAAAGATCGATCAGACTGGACTTAGTCCAGCGCCATTCCTTTCTCATCGAGTTCTTTTTTCTTCGCTCCTTTTCGCCACGCACCTGGAGACTCTCGCAATGCTCCAGGCTGGATCCCGACGCTCCTGCGCGATGTCTTGGCGGCCGGCTTGTTCTGGCCAGGAGCTTGTCATGTTGGGCTCGCCCTCAGGTTAATGGACACTGCTACGAAGCAAGTGCCAAATTTAGTGTCATAGAAACATAGAATCATAGAGAATAATATATAATAGTAATATATAATAACAATAGTAAACATATAGATATCGTAATACCAATCAAAGAACACAACTGACTTGAAAAGGGGACGATTCTCGAATATTCCCGACATCACAGGTTTTCCTCCTGAACATTTCACCCAACCACCCACCCACACACTCTGACATTGGTTTGCATTTAACTCAAATCCCACGCTGAGAAGGAAGGTGAACGAACGGAAAGGTGGAAGAGTCGGCAGAACAGTATTGTTTAACAGAAGGTTTCGCGTGACTGCAGAACACTAGTTACTGAGTACTTAGCAGACCTAGGAAAGGAAAGAGTGAACCGAAAGGCGAAGAGTCCGAGTACTTGAAGGTGTTTTAACAAAAATTGACGCGTGACTGCAGAAAACTAGTTACTGAATACTTAGCAGACCTAGGAAAGGAAAGAGTGAACGGAAAGGCGAAAAGTCCGAGTACTTGAAGGTGTTTTAACAAAGGTTGACGCGTGACTGCAGAAATCTAGTTACTGATTACTTAGCAGACTGAATTCACGCTGTGCACGGAAACCTGTTTTGGGGGATATCATGCGAAGAACCAACATGGAAACAAACCAACAGCGGCAAGGGGAACCAGTGGAGTCATTGCGTTTGATGCAGGTACACAGTGGAGCGTCCTCCACTGCTTCAGCACCAACCGATACCCTCTTCGTTGGACGGGTATTATCGGTGGTGACCCGTCCCCCTGCCTCCTTTTTCTTTGCGTGAAGAAACTGCAAGTTAGTAGCGATACCAGAAGCCCTTAGTAGCAGAACCAGGGGCCCTAGTAGCATCCTGTACGACTCGAAACCTTAGACACAGGTGTGGACACACACACACACACACACCCGCGCGCGCACACACACGTAGCATGACCCAGGCATAGCTACACGCTCCTGACCAAGTCCATCCTCAAAGAACCTTGGGAGGAGGACGTCGCAAAGCTCGGATGTGCGCGAAGCGGGGGCGCAGATGGATGGATGTTCGGTGGCTGTAGTCACTTACATTGCTGATGGTGACCTATTTGAGATTGGAAGATCGACAGATTCAATACCGAAGAAACGAACTACATCAATTTCCCCGAATTTCCAGCGGTGGCTTGTGCTGGGGGACTGGGGTGTGATTCAATTCATCCCCTCATCCAAAGACCTTGTGTATCGATTCAAGAAAGGTTGCTTTTGGATGCTTTTGGAGTAAAGCAGTTAAAGCAGTTGTTTCTATTCCTTGTTATTAGTTTCGACTGGTTCATCCAAAGTTTGTGCAAGGGAGTGGCATGAGCTTGCTCATGCAATGCGCCGCACGTGAATAATCATGAAGTGCTTGGAATTGACACTTATTGCAAGGTGTTTTTTGTTCATTTGCTTTGCTTGTCCAGTGCGTGCGAAGTGTCCCTAGCTTCTTGGTTCCACAAGAGCGATCTTCCAAACGCCTGGAAGCATGCGAAGAGCATTGGCACTAACCCTGGACCCTAGAGAGAGCAATTCCCAATATTTCCGAATCAACCCACACTTATATACGAAGTCCTTGCGTATGATTATACTTTAAATAATTGACAACTACCAGCTAGCCGGTAATTACCAAAACTAATGAAGTGACACATGAAGGCCCTGGACGTTAGCTGAATAATTCCTATACAACGCCCAAGGTGTGTGTACCAGAGTGTAGCATGGTCTGAAAACCAATGATGAGTGCTGCCTCATGCCCACATCCAGAAACCACTATCGCTACTATCTTGGCACAAGCCCTTGTTAGTAACCTATATTACAGCACATCATTGAATCACTGTTCCCCTCTTGAAGACTCGCGTGTTCAAACACAGAGCTTATCAAAGGGATTCAGCTTATTACAGCTTATCAAAGTCAACAGCCCAAACGGGTGTTCCTCTCTCGTCTTTCGCCCCTCACGGCCATGGCCCCGGTGGAGTGGCTTTGCGAGCTGTGCACGGAGATCTTGTTGGACCCAGTGACACTGCCCTGCTGTGGTCACTCGGTCTGTTGTAGATCTAAGCCGCAGAACTTGTGTGTCTCATTTAAACCGGCTTAAAGTTAGATATTTAAACCGTTTTATACCTTTTGAACAAATTATTTGGTAATCTATACTGCAGGAGTGTGGAGGGTTCGTCTTTATCTTCTTGGATGGCCGCCGTAGACTGAGTTATATATATATATATGTTTAATATACCTTTCGTGCACATAATACCACCATGATGTGATAGAACAGCGGCTCAAGCTGAGAAGTCTTTTTGATGAAGTGTGAGTGTTTTTTTGTTTAGAATGAACTCCAGTCAGTGGTGCGCTGCATCTGGAAGGACTGCATGCACCTACCTGCTGGGATGAAGTTTTTATTGTGTTTTTGTTGTTTAAAATCATCTCTTTAATGTGTGAATCTTCAACAAACGCATGTTTCACCCTAAGAATCAAGAACCCTCAGATGGTAAAGTCCAATGATTGCAATGTGCACTTTTTTTTGTAGCAAAACCTGTGCATTGTTAAAACAGATGTTTGAGTGTCACCGTGTCACCCTTGCCTTGCCAAAATAAGTCAAATATTAAATATACTTCTGCTGAAATGTGAGTAACCTCTATTTTGCATCATCAACCACCCAAAACAGGGTCTTTTCCTATTTCGCCCAAACCTGCTGACTTCTTAAACTGTAAGTGGCCTCCAACCTACTAGCGATGGCCTCCATTCTACTAGCGATGGCCTCCGGTCTTTTCCTATTATATAAACATATTTAAATGGGCCTATAGCCTATAATCCCCAGATGGGCCAAACCTCCTGGTGACTTCTTCAAGATGTTTTAAGTGTGAAGTGGATGATGTTTCTGTAGGCCCAGCATGCGGGACAATTAATGGTGGAACCTGCCACCGACATACATAGCAGGTGATGCGTGTCGAACTGGAAACGGCTTCGGGGCGTGTGGTCTTCTTCTTGAACACAAAAACAACACCGCAGGATTTTCTGTGAGCAAGTCTTGGCACGATCACAATCCCGGCAAGAAAAGTGACCAGAACGGCTCTTTAGACCTCTTGAGAGATCCAACTTCGCCAGCCAGATGCAACGTGGTCAGCGCGTCGGAGCCCCGAGCCTCGGTTCCTCCCAACCTCCCGGTGTTTCACTCTTCACCCGATCCGTCTGAAATCGACATTGGCATTTCCGCTGGTGCTTCGCCAGGTGAGTCCTTTTGCCAAGAGTGTTTGCGTCAATGGACCATTACCAAGCTGGAGGATGGTGCCCAACGGCCGCGCTGCCCAGCTGGCTGTGGGAAGAAGATCGACTATCGCTTGCCACAGACGTCCAAGGTGCGAGCCTCAGAAGCTGGTGGAACGGTCCGCAGAAGGAACTGAGTTGAAGCCAGCCAAGAGACCCAGTCGGAACAATCTTTACATTGTATTGTTACAAGTTTGCACAGGGGTATCACTACTAGGAACAAGGACGCTACCAGGGGCTCCTGGCGTCGCTACTAGGAACAAGGACGCTACCAGGGGCTCCTGGCGTCGCTACTAGGAACAAGGACGCTACTAGGGGCTCCTGGCCATACTACTAGGAACAAGAAGCTATTAGAAGCAAGAAGCTACTAGGGGCCTCGCTGCGACTGATTTCTTTGCCCCGCTGATTTCTTTGCAACCGTTGGTCTCGAGAGACCCCGGGTTTGAGACCCCAGACCTCCCCATATGAGGGTCTCACGGTCCTAGCATTCTTCCCACCACAATGACGCTTCACACAGCGCAACTTCATCCCTCAACCCCTCCTGGATTGGTTCAACCTGGAGCTCTGAGTGGCACAGGGGTCAAGTCAAACACCACATGGGGAGGCAGAAAAAGGCCTCCCAAACAAACGCTTGAGAAGAACGCCACCCCCACAATCGATTACCCACCGCTGTAATATGGAATTACATGGTGGACGTTCCTGGTTAACCCAAAGGCATCCTCAGCTTGGCTATACTGTGGCTTCGATCTGTGCTTGTGAACAAAAATCCGCTCAGTCTGGTGGATCGGTAGACACCCAAGGGGGAGCGGGAGCATGCCAACTCTTGGTTGGGGGGAGCGTGACGATAGGGCAGGGTTTCACCAAACACTCCGTGTGACTGGAATATATGCCTAGGCCGTAGACCCTCTAAACCCATCACATGTCTGGCTCATGAAGCAACACCCTTCTTGAGTTGTTGTTCCCGTCCGGGGCGCCCCGGAGCCGGGCGTTCGTTGAAACGCGGCAGGTCTTGAGGCAACTCTTGGAGTCCAGTCACTCCGCTGAGATCGCAGAGCGCCGTGGGGAGGCTGAGGACGTCACTCCGCTGCTGGGAGGCTTTGAGGCCTGGCAAGAGGTGGCCGCAGCGAGAGAGACCTGGCGGCTTTCGGTAGCACCTGCTTCCAACCAGACGGCTTTTCGGTTGGTGGTTTGACTGTTTGACTCTGGACTGTTCCGAAGTTAGAAGAAATATATTGGAACTTACTGCTTCAGAGGGGTCGGTGACTTTTAGGTGACCCCGAACATCGAGGCAAACATGTGGGTCAGTTTACCTTTGGCATTGCTCCGATGAGCCAATCTCAGGACATTGTGGTCGGAGACCAGGTCTACGTGTCTTTCGGGACAAGTGGCGTTGTACTGTGCAATCATGAGACAACTCATGTCAAGGCTCTCGGCGTGAAAGAACTCAAACTGAAGACTTCCAAAAACATAGTGTTTTTTTTTGAATTCATGTTGGTTCCATATCAAGATATCTCAAGTGTTCCTCTGACCCGAAGGATCCATGTCAGATGGCCATGTATGGAACCTCTTCTGCAACTGACCTGGGCGTTTTCACCCCAGGTGAAGTTCGACTCAGTCCTACACGGCACCGGCACGCTGAACGTCTTTCCGGCACAGCTGATGCCACAGCTGCCCAGGAGCCGCAGCGCCTGCGGCAGCGAGCAACGGGCCTTGCAGATCGGCGAAGCCGTGGTGGCAGCGTTGAATCTCACAACCGGAGAGCCTCCAGCGACTGGGAGCCATTTGGGACGAATGTGATGGGATGTTGATTTCTTTCCAGATCTGAAACATAGATCGAGCATGATTGGACAAAAGGTGACCCACCTGGTTTTTGTTTGTGAGGTGTGATGCTGCATGGTTTATGCTTGGTTCTCACTTTTGGTTCGTCAATACAATGTGGACGATGATGTTTGGTCCAGAGCAGGTCACTTAGAGACTTCAAAGGGGTTTTCTTTAAGGCTTTGGAATGCACGCAAATTGTTAATATATAAACTATAGCTCAATTATAGTTCAATTGTGTAAATTCCATTTGGTAAAATAACAACTATCACAAACATAGTAGGAGCAGCTCCCAAAGTAGCCGGGGTGAGCAAGAGCACTATGGATGACATTGCATGTCTTTGACAGGGACATGTTGAATCAGTTACTGTAGAGATATGGGCTTGACATGTGACATGTGTTATATTATTGATTTGGAGCTGGACCTGTGCATCTTGTCGCTGGCATGATACTGTAGGAATTCTGGTTGTTTCTCCTGAAAGCTTACGCTTGAAGGCTTTCAGGCACAAGAACCAAAACGATGGTACCACATCGACAATGTGATGTGCCGTAATAAATGAACTTCCGCCCAACCGTCCCAGTTCTTCGTCGCTGGCAGTGTCACAGTTCGTCATCGGACGGTGGAGACCCTGCACACTTGATAAACCGTGCATCCATGGAGCTTTGGGATGGGATCCTATTATACTACATGATATCCCAAACCCTTGAGGAGCTATAAAGGAACTTTATCTCCTTTATTATATAACATATAACTATATATATATATATATCCCAAACCCATTGAACAAAAAAGTGACCAGAGGGCAACATAATAACACAGTTTTGGTTTTAATTGGCACAGTTTCTAGTTTTTTTACGCCCCCATCTATGTCAATGTAAATGGGATTGCTCACGGTATACACAAACAGATACGAAAAGCAAGCACCTGTAACCTGGCCCAACTTGATTTTGTTTGAGATTGTTGGGCCGAACAGATGCTTCTTTTGCGTACACCACGCTGAGGGTCTCACCCCTTTGGATTCAAGTACTCATGGATTTGAGGGATGGTGTTCATCGAACAATCCAATGGTGTTCCTTTTTCCTGGAAGCGACCGTGACAGCTTGTGCCCTGATCGACTGGGATTTGCTCATTTTTGTGCCCTGATCGACGGGGCAGTCTCCGCGTCACCGGGTTCGTCTCCCCAGGTCGTGGCGGTGCCCTTTGGGACTCCTGGGACGATTGTGGGAGCCGCTGTGGAGGGTCGGATCGAGGTGGGCACGGAGGGCCGGAGAAGAAAAGCAAAGGGATGATGGACACAAGTCAACTAATCAAGTGCCAGAAAATGCCAGAAACATCAAAATGTGAACTGTAGTAAGTTCTGAGTTGACCGCAGTTGACGCAAGAGATGTTGTACTGGAAGGGATTCCATGTTGCAGGTTTTTGTCACAATCCACTGTAGACGACCACTTTGGGTTGGATTATTTTTGGCGGAACATCTCATAGTAAAGTTTCCAAGAATTATATGTTCTAAAAAAGAGCAAGTGCTGGAGGCCTTAGGGTTGCTTTTCACTCTTGAGTGTTGGACCAAATCTCCTTCGATATCCTTGAGACGGATTGGTTTTCGTCGGCCCCCCGGAACCTCTTTCCGAACCAACCGGGGGGGAGGCTGACCCAAACCATACATGTGGTCCAATCCTCACATGGTTATATTTGACTGGAGGTTCACTACTAAAAACTGGCGATTTGCCCACCAACACCTGGACTTTGATCACTGAAGTCTTTGAACGATCGGATTGTTGTCGTCTCTTCTTCCCATTTGAGTGTTTGTCAGAGTTGCGCCCTGCTCAGCCTGCTCCTTGTGATTTGGAGTAAACCTTGGGTTTCATGTTATGGCACTTCAACGTCCAGATGGTATGGTTTCTTTGTTTTTTTTTCCCGATGACTGTGACCGTAGGGACAGGCACCAATCCTAAGGTCGCTTTGCATTCCGCTTCCAGTCGGACACTTGAATACGGCAGTAGTTATAGTACATGTTAGTATGGACAACGTATATAGAGGATTTTCTTTGGTCTTCAAGGCCTTGGCTAAATCTTGGTAGTTCAGACCGTTTCAGAGAGTATTAGAATCCTGTTTGTACGTGGCTATGGACATGATTCAGTATATTACTATGAATGAGCAGAATTCACAAGGTCTTTGACACAGGTCATGTGGATATTATTTGTCCTTTCCTTGTGCCTTTATGCCTTGGAATGATCACCGGAGAATCACCATAATTTGTTTGTCCCAGCTCGTTTGGCTTGGTGCTAGTCGGATGGTACGACTCTACGACCAACAAATCTCCATCCCCCTCGCAATCGTCCGGTGGCCGACTACATCGGCGGAAAATGGGTGAGAAACCTTCAGCAGGTGCTCTTCACCAGCAGTTCTGGGCCAAAGCGCTTGAACGTTCAAAGGTTCGAGATCGAAACCGCTGGCGAGCTGTTAGGCGAGGGCTGAGGGCCTCGCAGAGGGACTCAATATATGGAAAATACCCTTCAGGTGATGTGGTTTGAGAACGCGTTTGGAGAATTGATGTTGGAAAAACGCCGGACGTGTGGAAAAGCTGAAGAAGCTCAACCTGTATTCTCCAAGGAACCAAATTCACAGGCCAACACCGAACACCTATGGGGGAGTTCTGGAATGGAATTCTGGAGTGCAACAAAATTTGTTTCCACTGGTTTTGAGGCAACGTAGGAATTGGGGGGTCTCCCATAAAAACATATATATATAATATAAGATTTGTTCCAAGCTCAGACTGAAAGAGAAGAGAGTGTGAACACTTTTCAGGATTCACATGCCCATGCTCAGAAGGGGCCGGGAACTCCAGTCACCACGAGTTGACCTGCGGGTTGACCAGCCCCCGACGACCCCGACCATGGGACGCCAGGAGGATTCCGGATGGCTCAACAAGTGAAGGCTTGTCGTGACATCTATGCAGAAGCCGCTTGGGCCGCAGAAGCCTGAAACCAGCCAACCTGTGGAATCAGCAAGGATAGTTCTTTTTTGATTTTTTGGGTTTATTTATTGTGTATGTTTATTTAGTTTCATGTGAGTGCAATTCACTCGGACCTTTTTCTTGAGCCAAACATCGCCAAGTTAATGGCTGGTTTCGAACGGTTCGAAGGGGTCTTCAAGAGTGCTTGGTACACTTCTTGTTTTGTGCGGACTGGTTTCCGACTCGCAAGTTTATTTGGTAGAGCTCCATTTGAGGTCTTTCCGGTTCAAAGTGGAACAGTTCGAACATATGAGTGTTGGTGATGTGCATGTTCTTCCGTTGCTTCCAAATTGCTCTATCGACTCAAGTATGACTACAACACAGGTATGGAAATGAACCCTTTCGTTTGGTGGTATCAAGTGGTATCAAGGTATTCCTAAAAACCTGGACCCCTTCCGCCTCGGTCACAGCAACTACCCATCAAATACCTGGCCTAGGGAAATTCGGAACTCACATACTGTAAGCAGCCACTTCAAGCCGTATCCCCGAGGTGTCGCCCCCCAATTTGAGGACGTTGACCCGAAATTGGGTGAGCAAGCGCATTGGTCAATCTGGAATGGTCGAAAGACAAGAGGTTGTAAAGAATCTTTGGGATGTATTTTCCAAGGTGCTTTCAGATTCCAGATATGATGCTGTTGCCATTGACACACAGCATCACATAGCCACAATACAGTTTCAAAGAGGTGTTGATCCGTTTATCAGTATGATTTAAATTTCAACAAACTGAAGAGATGAAACCCGCAACCAAGGGTACCTGAATTTTGAATTGCACGTCAAATTAAGTTTCTAGCCTGTACTGTAGCTGCGGTTGCAGTCACGCGGTGCTCGTGTGAGAGCATTTTGGGTAGTGGTCCAACTACTTCAGTAAACTAAGATTGTGCTTACATGGCTGACGATGTTTTATCAAACAAAAGTAACCAATACACAATCAGTGGACGGCCATGACCGGGGAAAATATATCGTGTTTAGTGCTCAAGTTTGCGCCCTCGGACGGTGCCACGTATTTGTCTTCACACTCACCGGTAGGACATGAACATGCTACGCTGCTACGTTTGCTTGTCTTACCGGTCGGTAACTTCTGTCACGTAGCTGTTTTGGGAAAGGACTTGTTCGGGCAGACTCTTGGAAAAGTAGCAGCCATGTGCGCTGACTCTGTTGATGCCAACTCTCATGGAGAAACTGTCCATGGGGTTGATGTTGGAGGCGCAGGCTTCAGAGGCAAGACTTTGAAGCAGAGGGTCGAGCTGTTGACGAAGAATATCCGTAATGAGGCCTGTGAAGAGTGTGAAGGGGAGTGTGAGGAGGGATGCAGTGGGCTTGGTGTAGTTTTGTAACATGTTCGTGTAAGGTCTGTTGTTGGTGTTGGGTCCAATCCTTTTGCAGGATGTCGCAGGCTTTTGCAGAAAGCTGGGCCTTTGACATCTCCCATGTCTCTTGAGACATCAGCAAGAGCGTCGTCAACGAGAAGTCCTGCGCGTGCATATTTCGCGCACTTTCTTTCCACTATGTGGTGCAGCCGCTCTACCTCCGCTGACGGGAAGGGTGTTGACGCTCTTGCACATGCACACTTTCACCATGTCATGTGCTCTGCATATTTGTTTCACAG